TGATCTTCAGAAATCATTCTAATATGCTGATTTATTATTAGAATTATCAACAGTTGTGCAGCCAAATATTTTTAAGTTACGCCTTCTTTCTTTGCGTGAACGTTTGGGCGGCGTTATGCAAATCTTCTCACATCGTGACGTAGACATGTGGGGTGTGTTAGAACGAGCCGTTTTAGGTAGGCGTGGCTGACTCTTAACTTTTATAAAGAATATCTCTTTGGATTTGAGACTTTAGTCTTTGCAACTTTACAGATCTTCTTTATGCACCAAGAGCTTGTAACACTCCAAAGAGAAAGGAAAAATTGAAATCGCATCATATGACCCCTTTAAGTTGTATGACAGCTATATGTGTGGAAAAGACTAATATTAATCTGTAATTTACTAAAAGTACCGCTTGACAGCTGTAGTCACCATTCATTGTAGGGAAACGAACAGCTTAGACATTCAACTATAAATGTCCTCTTTTGTGGCCCTGGAAGAAAGTAAATTATTTAGACATAAACTACATTTTTGGATGTACTACCAGTTTAAAGCAACTGTATGTAATTTTTTTTTTACTTTAAAATATCAGTTTCAAAATCATTCTGATGGTACACAAACTTGTAATAAGGCAAATGGCTTGTGTTTATTTCCCAAACCACATGTACAGCTATCTATGGAAATTGCGAAGTTTTAATTCTCACTATTCTGACTTTTTTTCTCAGAATTCTGAGATATAAACTCGCAATTGTGACTTTTTTCTCAGAATTGCGAGTCAATTCTGACTTTATAAGACAATTGCGAGTTATTAAGTCAGAATTGTGTGATATAAACTCGCAATTCTGAGAACATATCAATCTTTTTCCCCCCTCAAATTTGGACTTTATAACAAGCAATTGCGAGTTGATATCTCACAATTCTGAGAGAGAGAAAAAAACAGAATTGCGAGAAAAGTCAGATTTACAAGATATATACTCGCAACTACGAGAAAAAAGTCTGAATTGTGAGTTAAAAAGTCGCAATTACCTTTTTTTCAGTGGCGGAGACGAGCTTCCATAGCTATCCACTGTAATTACGACACAGTGTTGGCCCCCTTCCTGATTTCTTATTTTTTTGCATGTTTGTCACACTTTAATGTTTCAGATCATCAAACAAATTTAAATATTAGTAAAAGATAACACAAGTGAACACAACATGCAGTTTTGGATTTTGTTTTCCCTTAATAATAAAAACCTTCATTTAAAAACTGCATGTTGTGTTTACTTGTGTTATCTTTGACTAATATTTAAATTTGTTTGATGATCTGAAACATTAAAGTGTGACAAACATGCAAAAAAATAAGAAATCAGGAAGGGGGCCAACACTTTTTCACACCACTGTATGTACGACAGTGAATTTCACCTGCTTGACTGTAGGGGGCTCCAAAGTCGCAAAAATACACAAAAACTACATACAGTTGCTTTAAGATTCTTCATTCTTGTCTAATTTTTCAGTATTTCATTTAAATGACTCTGAACGAGGGTAACCAGATAAATGGAAAGAATTCGAATAAGTTTATCACAGCAGATTAATTTGATTCATTTTAGAGCTTTCAGGAGCTTCAGTCAGCAGAAGTAACTGAGGAGGACAAGGAAGAAGACGAGGAAGAGGACTGCGATATCTCTAGTACCGACTCAGACAGCGATGAAGAGGAAACTACCACGTCTTTCATACATAATCAAACCAGGATGCAATGGGGAACATCAACATTACACTGATGAAAACACATTCACACAAATACAACGCTCTACCTGTAGCATTCTAGTGACCTGCAATACACGCGAGTTGACGTGCAAACACACTTCGAAAGACTTCGAAACAGCTCTGATCCTTTGTGATACTGTTTTTGGTGTGAGGTGACAAACTAATAAAAGTCCTGCATCCCGTCTGATCCCTTTACACTCTCTGTCTCTACCGCTGGAGGACAATAACAAAATATGAGACAGTGTAGTCACAGAAGAAACTCGAGCAGCCGCCTGTTCAGGCTTTTGATGAAAAGGGAGTTTCTTTTTTTTGATGCCTCTACAGTGCATCTCGTTTTCTCAGACCCGTTTGATGTGAAATGATCGTCCTTTCATAATAACCCTGAAATTAATCTCTAATGGCTTCCTTGAATATGTTTTTATAAATCTGTGCGTGCACCTTTTTAATGTAGTCTTTCTCCGTCGGTCTCTCTTCTGTGTAACATGGCAGTGTTTGTGTGCTTTTGTAAATGACTGTTCTTTCATTATAAAGTGCAAATGAATGGGTTGTATGTTTGTACATCTTACCGACTAAACGGAATTTGCTCCTTTTTGTGGTCGCTGCTGCACTTTCTTTACATGGGTCAATAAAAGAACTGTTTTAAGAAATTGGTCGCCTCATTTTCACTCATTAACATAGCTGGCAAATGTCTGCTGTACTGCAATTTAACCATAATAAAATATATTAAAGTCGAACTGGCACTTCTGCTGCGACGGCCCTGAACGAGCACAAGGTATATGCGTAAAACAACAGCGACATCTAGTGGTGCGTTATATGTAGCACGTTGATATCAGATTACTGTGTTCTCAAATTTCATAAATGTCAGACTGGGGCAAGTTGTCACATTAAAAACAATTGTAGGAGAATACAGCCTGATTTAAAAAAAAACACTTTATACATATAATACATTTTTAAAGACATCTTTGTTTTACTTTAGATACTAACTTTAGGTCACTCAAACAGGTTCCATAACAGGAGTATGTACTAGTAATGATGAGGATGATAACAATAATAATAATATCAATCTGATACATTAAAAAAAGACTCCAGATTCCCATTGACAAATTACCCCATAGTGTGACAAAGTTCAAATTGTAGGTAAAACACACACACACACAAACTCAGATGATAAGCTAAACAATGAAAACGTTATTTGGCAGTAATATTTGCAATTAATATTTTACTAATCATATAAACATCTTTATAATAAATATTTTTTTTATTATAAAATTTATATTAAATAAAATATGAACTGTACATATATATACCCATAACAGGAGTATGTACTAGTAATGATGAGGATGATAACAATAATAATAATATCAATCTGATACATTAAAAAAAGACTCCAGATTCCCATTGACAAATTACCCCATAGTGTGACAAAGTTCAAATTGTAGGTAAAACACACACACACACAAACTCAGATGATAAGCTAAACAATGAAAACGTTATTTGGCAGTAATATTTGCAATTAATATTTTACTAATCATATAAACATCTTTATAATAAATATTTTTTTTATTATAAAATTTATATTAAATAAAATATGAACTGTACATATATATACAAAATAATTTTACAGCAAATAACTACATAAAATCGCTATTTCCTTTTTAAAGTACAGTGCTGTGATACAGTTTTGAATGCTAGTCTTAAAAAAAAAAAAACAAGACGGCGCTATTGATGCGTAAACAAAATAATATAAAATTGAAACATGGGGGCTGTTTCATAAAACAAGTTGACCAAATAAGCCAGGCTTATTTCAGTTAGTCTGACTTATTTGGAACCAAATCAACTGACAATAATTCAGACTTAACTGAAATAAACCTGGCTTATTTGGTCAACTTATTTTTTTTTTATGACCATAATTACGTAGAAATTGTAAATAAAATCCATTCCGTTAGTCAAAACTAATCTGAAAACGCACTTACAAACAAGTCGCCACATTTGTCAAACATTTGATTTTTAAAAGCATGTGAGACTACAGAAGTAAAAGAGGAGCAGACAGGGTTTGGCTTTGGAGTTTTATTTTTATTCACATTTCAAAGGTCACAAAAGAACAAAGTCGTGTCTGCTGTCTTGCGGGTTTCTGTTTGATCCTTGAAAAAGACAAGCATCCATTTCATATAAAAATCAGATCTGTAAAAAACACCGCAGCACATTTCTAAATCGCGTTTATATGCTAAAAACATCTGAAACCGATTTAATCAGCTTTGTCATGATCACAAACGAAATAATAAACTCATAATAAACACGAACGGAAAAAGATTTTAAAAGATCTCAGGCACTGCGGATGTGTATTAGTTAAGACTGGTGAAAGAATAAGGACCTGTTTTTCTGGAATGAAATGCATTAGTCTAATATAATTATGTTGGATTTATGTCCAGAAATCTAGGTCCTTAGTGTTTAGATAAAAGTGAAGGAAAAAGCAAAATCATCAGCTCTTAAGGAAATTATTTGCATGGAAGACATGAACTTGAGTCATTCTCACATACAAATACAAACACCTTCTCATTAGTCACCTCATAATCATGTATAAAACCAGATACTTGTTGTCCGGCTAGTCAAATCTGTCCTTCCCTACGACACTTAATTAAAGTCTGTGCACAGCACAAAGCCTCTACAGCCCTGCAGATCATCGCTGAGTGCGTTTTCAGTTAACGCCGGTGATTCTTTGGCTGTGTGTTTGTGTCTCTCATTGGTACTGCAGGTAGTTCTTGAGCGTCTGTGGCAGTGGCAGAGACTGGATGTGATGGATTCGGTGGCGACCCAGAGCCTGTCGTGCCGCCCTTCTGCATAGCTCCATCAGCGGCAGAGGTTCAGCTGCGGGACGGAGCAGAGGTCAGTTAGGGTCAAAGACCTCAAGCGATCATGTGAAAACACTCGGTTAGGACTTCAAAGACCAGCACTGATTCTAGATAAGCTGAATGATTCAGGTCCTGACGTTGCAAAAGAATCGTTAAAAAAAAGAGCCAATCACAAGAGAGGCAAGTTACTTATAGAAGAAATGTAAAAAGGGGGGAAATCAGTTTGAAGAACATTTGTTTGAACTATAATTTACTTTTTAAATATAGTGTTAAAAACAGTGACAAAGCAATGTGAGGCATCAGTGGAACTTGAGAACTGACTGTAAACACTACCTGTTGAAAGTTCGGGGTCAGTATGATTTTTTTTTTTTTTTTTTAAAGAAAATAATACTTTTATTCAGGAAGGATGCATTAAATTGTTCAAAAGTGGCAGGAAAGACATTTATAACGTTACAAAGGAATTCTATTTCACTTAAATGCTGTTCTTTAAAACTGAACAAAGTAGGTTATCGTTTTCAGAAAAATATTAAGCAGCAAAAACTGTTTTGTGGTAACTTTGATAATATTAAGAAAATCAGCATATTAGAATGATTTCTGAAGGATCATGTGACACTGAAAACTGGAGTAATGATACTGAAAATTCAGCTTTGCATCACAGGAATCAATTACATTTTACATTACATTTATTCATTTAGCAGATGCCTTTATCCAAAGCGACTTAAAATTGAGGAATACAATTAGCAATTCATCATAGAGAGGCAAATAAACAAAGGAAGTGCTCATAATTTTAAAATAATCAAATAGAAAACGGTTCCTTTAAATTGTAATAATATTTCATAATACTACTGTTTTTATTGAATTTTTTATCAAATAAATGCAGCCTTGATGAGCATGACAGACTTATTTCAAAAACACACAAAAAAAACAATCATACCAACCCCAGACATTTTAACAGTAGTGTATACTGGCATAAGAAAAAAGAAAAGAAAAGAAAAGTGATGTTAGTGAAAAGATCCTGCAGCACAGCAAGTGAATTTTATAAATTAGGTGTGACTTGCATATCCAATCATATTTAGATCAACTATAAGTGGGCTTTTGGGAGAAGAAAAAAATGAATAAAATGCTTATTTCTGTAAATTCACAGTCAGTGTTGCAACCATGCAAAACCCCCATTACATTGCCTTTTCAGAGAAGTTTGGAAATATGCTTGTGTGCATCGTGACAACAATATGGGAATAATTTCATCGGTGCATAATTTCTAAAAACTGCTATTACAGAAAAGCACTAGATCTGTTGCATGTAAACATGTTGTTCCCAGTTACTACGAGTGGTTGCGCAATTACTCTCATCATGAAGCAACAGCAAAGCTATGACGAGCATCTCTAAAGAGCTGGATTGAAATCAACATGCACTGAAGTGAAGTGACGTGAGGCCAAGTATCCCATCCAAGTGCACACACACCGTGAACACACACACGGAGAAGTGCCCAAGGATGGCGATTATGGAAAACATGAGACAAGGAGGGAAAACAGAAGCAGAAAACCTGAAAACGATACGTACGGTCTAATCCGTTGACGTAGGTCATGGTGACCTCGCAGTGACCCCACACGGCGCTGACGATTGGGTACAGCCTCTTCCCTTTCAGCCCGCGAAACGCTACGCCCAGGTAGTTCCCGTCGGCGCAGAATCCCAGCGTTCCCTCGTCCATGTCCAGAACCACCAGAATCTCTTCAGGCACCGAGAACGTCCCTTCATCCTCCTCGTCCTCGATAAACTCCGGGTACGACGGCGCCGGGCCGGTCCGGCTCTTCCTGTCGTGGTAAAGTCGACCCCGTCCGAAGTCCCAACCCCAGGATTCGGCGTCGCTACCGACTAGCGCGGAATATCCGACGGCTCGCAAGGGAGCCGAAGAAGTCGCGACCCCGACTATGGCATGCGTGCCGCGTTGCCGTACGGGCCAGCGCAAAGTCCAAGCGTGCAAACCGCGGGTAAAGCCTACTTTTCCCCGCACGCAGTCCGTGCTTTGGGCCACCGGGTGGCGGTGGAACGTGAGCCGGTCGTCGTCTTTGATGAAGAGGTTGAGCGAGCGGTCGTCTGGATTCCAGGCGTGCTGATGCTGGATTTCCGGTCCCGCCGGCGGCATGTCCAACAGCAGCTCCAGACGGGCCGGTAATGGGACGCCGCGGCTACGGAGCGACGCACACACCGGCGGATACGCCAGCTCGCTTGTCTCCGGCTCATCTGCGGCTTTCACCACACCCGACACCCTCTGCCCCATCACGGCCCAGCCACGGGCATCAACAACCACAGCCGGGGTTACCTCATGAGTGGGACGGACCGGAGAGCAGCAGCCAATCAGAAGAGACGACACGGTCCCATGCGCGAGAAGAAGTCCAGAGCGGAGTGGGCGGCACTGTAGAGTAAAACGAAAGAGAGTAAGGAAGTATGTTGTGACTTTTAAAGACACGGTGTTTTGTTTTGTATTGCGGCACTTTAATCAAACAAATCACAGACTAGGTGTGTCAATTTTGAGTACACTTGGACTCTCACGCACAATGACGTCATGATTCCTGACATGTCAATAAACAACAGAGGAAGGGCTTATTTTTGCTGGTTTGCACAGAACAGGGAGAAACAGAGGCACAAAATTAGGATAAGCTACTTAATATTGAAAGCAATTTCAAACTTCTTTTTTTTTTTTAATATACACTACTATTCAAAAGTGTTTTAATGTTTGTCGAGAGAACTTTCTTCTTCTC